CTGGACGTGGGTTTCCATCGCAGCGTCTTCAGGATCTCTAGCATCTATAAATCTAACAACAAAGTATTTCTGCAGTCCTCTAGTGCGGAAAAAGCTCTGCACCTTCACAGTCCTATAGAGCAAGCTTTTCTCTCCCACCCACGCTTGCTCATGATTTCGCTTGCAGTGCTTGCGCATCTCATCTTTGTTGATTGTGATCCAGCTGCATGTCTCGCACTGCGCACCATCAAGCGGCTTTCCTAGCTCTTCTATTGGCTGCGCGGGCTCTTCTGGGAGCTCAATCGCGCTTAGAGCGACGGTCTCAAATTGAGTGAAGCACTCAAGTATCTGTCGCCGTAGCGCAGCAGATGCAGCATGATATTTGCGGAGATGCGCATCAAGACTCACGACTGCTGTACAGTGCTGCTTGCAAATAATAACGCCAAAGCCTTTAAGAAAGCAGAAAACGTTATTAGAATTGCTGAGTGTGAGCTGCTAGGGTCATCTGTGGGAGTTTGCAGTGTTGTTTTTGCTGCTGCCTGAATTGTTTGCTTAGCTGTCCCACACAAGCTCTATCGCGCAGAATGTAAGGAGCTGGCCTCCGCAGGCTATTTGTAAGTATAAATTAAATGGATTTGTTGAGGAGTGGCTGCAGGCAGAGGTCTGCAGACTTTTATGTCCTCTGTGCGGAGGTTACACAATTAGTCAAGATTAGGACCTCCTAACTGGGGGTACAGCTGGGCAGGCACCTCCTCTTAGAGGTTGGCCGAGGCTAGCGAGCGCTGAGGCGCTACCATTAGGCCTAGCCTGTTACACAGAAACCCTAACCCTACTTACTATAATAGCACTAAGTTTTGCTAAATAGACAGACAAAACGCTTAGCGTTGCTGCGCAAAGTATATAGGAATTGAGTTTGTATAAGATATTTTTTAATTTAGGCCTAAAGTAATGGCAGGTTGGTGGTGTTAGGGTAACGTGGGGGACCACCAAAGCAGATCGCTTAAAAGGGGTCAAACCCTAACGCTAAGCCTCTTTTGCCGCGGTTTGGTGTCCTCCCTGCGCCCTTATCTTGGCTAGGTGCGCGGTGCACTGCATTGTCTTGTGCTGCTGCTACTCAGTTGTGCCAGCATTGTCCAGCATGCAGCACGCCACGCACCCATTGCGCAGCTCATCCATTAGTTCCTCTACCTGCTGCTACTCCGTGCTCGCCTCCTGCTGTGCGTCGTGCCAACTGCGCGTCCCCTCTCCGCACTAGTTGCACCTAGCCGTCTCTATGTTGTTGCACTCCACCTGCTTGCTGTCTAAGTAGCTGCTTATTAGCCCTTGTTAACACCTGCTGCTAATTAGAAACATGCCTATTGCCTGCACGTCCAAGTCGTCGCTCTTCTGCTTCATCATCTGCTCAACCTCGCCCTGCTCTACTAACACTACTGAATCTACCCTTTCGCCAGCTCGCCCCCCACGCCCACTCTCCTGCGCGTAGTCGATCATGCTCCACGGCATCCTCACGTGCAGTATGAACACGATCCTGGGGAAGTCTACCCCTGTGCCTAGCGCTGACGTTGCTGTCATCAGCCCTCCTTCTATCAACCACTGCTT